GCATGTGATTGTATGGATTTGAGGGTTTGGGGGAGTACCCGCTTGTGAAAGCAGACATTTAAAGGATGACCGATCATTATTCACGAACGCTTCGGAGGACGGATTAGCTAGATCCGGATATAAAGGATGACCGATCATTATTCACGAACGCTTAGGAGGACGGATTAGCTAGATCCGGCTGTAGATGCTCAAAGACCGGCAGATCATGAGGCCAACCGCCACACCGGTCACCATAACTTACTTACACAGTAAAGAACGTGACGCCGCAGCTCAAATAAAAAGGACACAGCACCCTTTTATTTGGTATATATCAAGCTTTGCACTGATTTTGCAGCCTCACAACAGCGGCCAAATCACAGCGAATACCAATGATCCTAACCTTGTATTTCAACTTCTTAATCACCTGTAAGAAGCTTATATTATAATCTCTCCGTTCAAAAATACAGTACGTGTATGTTTATCTTTAAGAAGTAAAGCTTCTTAATGTTTCCCCAAGTTTATAGAAAAAGATGTACATTTGTAAGTACAAAATTAATATCATTAGATATGAAACCTATATCAGCAATGTTTCCATATTTTATCTATTCGGTATCACTAATGCTGATAAACTTACCAAATTTTACGATTTTCGACTTTTTGAAGAAAAAAAAATTCCATACTCACCATATATATTGTTAGAACAGAGAGAGCATCATAAAGGGTACGTGGCAACACACGAGCCTACTACTAGTTACATGTTAAACATTGGGTTTAGGGTATATAACCCGGGGAGCAGCAGCAGCAAGGTTCCTCAACATTATTATAATTTAACTTGCAGATGAAGTTCGAGATCATGACACCGGTTCAAGGCTATGGCATCTGCGGCAAGGCTCCACAACATTTAGCTTGACTCCAGAGGGAACTTTTGGCTCAACATATGTCCTTATAGCCAAGAGGCCTTTACGAGCTTCCACCATAAAATCCCCGTGCAACAGCAAGCACTTTCCAGTATAGTTGGATGAACAGCTATCCCAAGGATGTCCTCGTGTGGTGTCCAATGTAAGGCACTCAAGTGACGTCGTATTCTCAATGATATGGCATGTCAGCTCAACTAAGCTCTTCGCAGAGGAGAAACCAATGATCTTCACTGTCTTAAGGCTATCATGGCGGTGTCCTGGCATCTCCCTCAAATGTGATGTATTATCTCCCACGATTGATTCATGCAACATTTTTACCTGCAACACCTAAAGATGACAGGCCAGATAGTTGGATTAATAGTTCCATCATTAAAACTAAATAATCTTGCAGGATGGGCAATGGACTTACGTTCACGACAAGGGTCTCCAAGGAAGGAGAAGCATCAAAAAAGGATATCAGAGAACAATAGTCGTAGGTTGGGGAAAATGCCAGTGCACTAAGATCAACACTCAAGTACTTAATATGGAAGAACTTGCTAGGTAGCACTGGTGTATCAATCATCTGGACAAAGATATCTCAGATCAATCATACTATGTATATCAACAGATAAAGATTCCTAAAGATTTAGTGTATACCTCATGAGATGAACATATGGTAGGAGCTTCAACATATTGCAAGCTAGACGGAAAATCAGCACAAACATAGCTGACAGCACCGGGAAATGACATGACAAGCTTCTTCAATTGCAATGCCACTCCAAGTGGTAGCTGTACTTGGGTGTGACCCCTAAACTGAAAATTAGAAATGTTTTGAGCTTCTATCTCTATAAGCTGCAAGCTGCAGTCAAACACTTCAAGACATCCAAGTTGTCGCAAATGAAATGGTATCTTCAAGCAACTTATATTATTGCAAAGTCTGAGTCGCACCTGTTGCAAAGCAAACGAATTGTGAAGAGACCCCAATTGGTCCCCCGTGATGTCAACATCACACAACTCAAGTCTTGACAAGCTTTTCAAGCACAACCCAGCAGTGGAAGAGAAAACACAACAAGAAAGATTTATATACCGAATCGAGCTTCCACTCTCATTAGCTAAAACTGACCACGGAAAGTTGTAATATCTTCCTGACTTTCTAGATAGCTGAATAGTGAGTTCTTCAATCCCCGGTGTAACAACAGTCTGAAGCCAGCTATCAAGGTTACAGACCTGGTCATTGTAATAACGGAAAACAATCTCGAGTGTCTTTATGGCCATGCATAAGCGGTTTTTTAAAATGTGGTCGACTTTGCTGGTGAAATTTCTCGCTATTTCATCCTCTCCACATGATCTTTTATCCATGCCCAATGCTTTCATACTGAAAGCAAGGTTTGGATGGCATCTCCAGAAACGTTGAAATGCATTTGACACACAAGCAGCTCGAGCAGCATCTCGCATTGGCAGTAGGGAATATATATGACACCAGATATCCTGCATGCACAAGAATTTGAGAAAAGCTGAACATGGTCAGGTATAATTATTTCAAATGGACAAAAGAAATAAAGAAAACCATGTCGAGTAACATTTCAACCCAAGTGCTTGCACATGATTGCAATGCTATACATAGGCACACCGTGCAATTGTGCTGACTTCTGAGTAAAGGGCGGTTACTTTCCTAAATGTCTTATTAGTGGTTCTAAAAGAATAGTCTTAGTATCATCTAGTTACTATGAGTGAAACCATTGTATTCCATCGAACTCACATATACTCACGTTCATGACGAATGGCGAGGCGAGTTCATAGACACAGTCACAGAGAGCACCAGACACTAACTTCATAGACACAGTCACACAGCCTAACTTCGTAATGATAGCAAATTAAATCATTACTTATGCCGAGCACCAGCCACTAACACCAGGATAAAATGTTGCAGTGTAGTAGCCTTAGCAGCCTAGCACTAGCAACAATAGCGACATATCCAAAGATATTCCGTCCAAATTGACCACTTTTCAGTTCTACTAGTATGAAGACGTGTAACTCACATGGTCCTAAACTCGCTCATAATTTTGGTGTGACCATGTTAACTGGGTATATAGAAGTGCAAAACAAAGAAGGATAGAGATAACTATGCCACCGCAGAAGAAGTTTCCTCTATAAAACAAATATCATTTCACTACAAGAATGAGCAACTGAGCTTATATCATTATTTACTGGTTAAAGAGCCCAATGTCAATTGGACTAGGAAAATAGTGCAGTCAAAATATTGGTCTTTTATAATGGAAGGGAGTTGTATAAAAATAACATCATAAGTCAAATTAGTAGTAGATATAGACACTCGGATATATATACTGTAGCGAGCATGGGCACCAAAATGGTTATTTGTCTGAATTAAATAATGTATCAAGGAAAGGACAGGGCCTCTGTAGATACACATATGGAAGTTCTATCATGAAGATTGAGTTTTAACTGCCAAGGATGGCATGTGCTAGGCATGGAAGAAGCTAACAGTAAGTTTGGCTATTTTTAATTTATTTTCTAAACAAAGTTTACAGTCGAAGGACCCGAAGCTGGTATAACATGTCAAACTTTGTTACATCACAACCCATAGGAGGACCCTAAAAAAATAAAACTTAGTCCTTCACTTTTGCACACAGGACTTGGATCAAACAAAAGAAACACAATCGAGTCTTGGAGCTGCAGCCAGTGTATGAGGAGACGATGACTACGTTATCACCAACAAAAGACACCTTACCAACACGAGCAGAGCCACTCTCAACTTGTTTGCTGAGGACACCCGACCAAGGCGGCAAGGGGGCGAAGGGCCTCCAAAATATGGAGGTTGAACAAGGAGGCGAAGGGGATTGGCGTCAGGCCTCGCAGCGGGCGATCAACCCTCAACACCGCATATAGGAGTATTTAGAGTACCAGTATGCATAAATAGCAGGACACTGAATCCAGATTTCAGACCATAAAACCACACCAAGAATAACACAAGCCACTGCTAAGAGAAGTAACTCTATGAAATCTACCCCTCCTTACGAAGACAAGAGGGGATCTAACACTCATGAGTCATGACAGACATTTTCCTGCAGGCAGTTTAAGAAAAAACAAAGCTACTAATGCAGTAGGATTGTGGCAGGTTGCAGCACTAAAAGATATGTTCATACTTAAATATTTACCAAGCACAGTTCAACCAATTAGTATAGTTAGAGCATTCATAGCCCATCATCATCGTTTCATGGCGTACCTCTGGAAGATGTGGCCCAGGGTATTGTGTTTCACCACCTTGGGAACTATGATCTTGTTTGCAGGTTGAGTCCTTTCTGTCAACCTTTGAATCAGCTGGTCCATCTGCAATACATAATGCATGATTGCAGGTGGAAAGTTACAAGGAAAAAAAAGTGAAGCATGCATATGCACATGCTGAAACAGAAATCGTTTTTCTTGCCCAACTTTAGTCAACAGAAATAATGCTTTTCGAGCTAGACACCCAAATTTCAACTAAAGAAAAAGGCTTTTGAATGACCATATAAATTGGTACAAAACATTGCAATACCACCCAAGTATCTCCGCGGTGCTCAAACAAATAAAACAAGACAGGGGAACGCATAATCGACAGGGTGCATAGACAGTCAACTTGGGCTCCCCTATGTTGTGTTGCCAAGGAGAGTGAATTGCAAAAAACCACCACATTTGGGGCTTAACTTGCAGAAAACAACGTGGTCGCTAATCATTTGCAAAAGCCACCGCGGATTCAGTAACAGTTTTGCAGATTGCACTGAACATGTCATTTGGCTCGGTTGAGGGCGTTTCCGACATGTGGGGCCCAATATGCGTGACATGGCGTAACGGACGCGCTGACGGCGCCGTTTGCTTAAGACAAACGCGGTCGGGTCGCCAGAGACAGACCACCCGCGCCCGACCACATCTCGCTCGATTTCTCTGCTCTCACGCTCGCTCTCTCTGCTCCCACACTCGCTCGCTCCCCTCCCATTTTCTCCTCTCCTTTCCGGTCACCGCCGGCCGCCGTCCGCCATGGTGTCCTGGACCGACAGTGAGAGCACTAACGGCTCCGCCGCGCAGTACATCTCCTCCGACGACTCCCCTGTCAAGGTCAGAACATTCTATTCCTCATTTCTGTTCTAGGGTTTGTAGGGTTGAACATTTGCTCGATTTGAACACGTTTTTGTTGGATTTCTCAGATCCCAGCTACAATTGATGAGCCGTCGTTCGAGGGTCTTGCTGATGACTTGAATGTGATTTGTGAGCATGGGAATCCAGGGAGGAAGTATGTTGCATTTGAGGGGATAAGCACTGGTAGGAGGTTCATTGCTTGTGCCACTGAAGTAAGTTTTAAGTTGTGTTTGCAGCATTCCAATTCTTGTTCTAGGGTTTGTAGTAACTGTTCCTGTTCTAGGGTTCATAGTTACTGTTCATGTTCTAGGGTTCATAGTTACTGCTCATGTTCTAGGGTTTATAGTTACTGAATTTAGTTCTAGGATTCATAGGTAGTGTTCTTAGTTGTAGTTTTCATAATTATTCATCATTAAATGAATGTGATTCTGGTACATTAACAGAATTAGCTATTTAACTGAATCTGTAAGTAATGTCTGTAATTTTGAACTGATTTTTTCTATTGTAGGGTGTTGCAAATTGTGGATTAGTGCAGTGGGTAGATGAGCATTGGTCAGAGCATCTGCAGAATGCTATTCATAAGCTCTGGCTTATGTATGAGCATAGCCAGCATGAAAACAGGATGGCATGCCTGGAGCATTCAAGCACTGTACACAATCTCACACAGCAGAAAAAAGAGTTGCAGGAGACATATGAGAAGCTTATTGAAGATGTGAACAACCTCTTGGATTATAAGGATAGCCAGCCTGAGGTAAACCAGAAGAATGATGCCGACAACATTTTAGTTAGTGTGGAAAGCAGCATGACAAAGGATGCTGAGATAAAAAAATTAAAGGCTGTTGTTGACCAGTTAAAGCAAATTCATGTAGCTCGAGCCACTGTCATTAGGAATTTCAAGTTCAACCATCTTAAGGAGAAGGAAAAGTTGAGCTCTGATAAGAGGACTTTGGAGATTTGCTATGCTGACCTGAAGAAAGAGAAGGATGACCTGAAGAAAGAGAAGGATAAGCTGGATTGTTGCATTGCTGAGCTGATGAAAGTGAAGGAGAAGTTGACCATGGAGAAGAGTACTCTTGCTTCCTGCATTGTTGAGCTCAAGATAGCAGGTGATAGCAACAAGAGGAAGCTTCCCCAGATTAAGGCTATTTGTGATGAGGACTAATTTGTGTTGACCATGTGTGTCAATGATGTCTTTTGTAGTAGCTATGGAGGAAAGCTTGTAATGTGTTAAGCTTTATTGTGGTGAACTCTATTATGTCTGTAGCAATGAACCTTGGATTGTATGTTGTTTGTGAGAGTACTATGTTTGTGATGAATTATCAGCTTTTATTAAGTTCAGTTTGTGATGAATTAACAACTTGGATTATAGCAAGTAGATAGTGAACATAGATAGCAAGTTCATAGTGCATAGATAGTCTGACATAGATAGTGGCATACTAACATAGATAATAGCTGCATAGATAGTCTGACATAGATAGTGGCATACTAACATAGATGGTAGCTGCATAGATAGTCTTACATAGATAGTGGCATACTAACATAGATAGTAGCTGCATAGATACAACTGACATAGATAGAACTGGCAAACTAACATACTGACGAAACTGAACTTTTTCTTCTTCTGACGAAACTGAAGACAGCATGTCACTCCTCCTTCTTCAGCATCTTCAGGCATAGGGAGCGCCGCACGTCATTGTTGTTCACCGCTGCCCTCTTCTTCTTGGCCGGCGCTGGCTCCACCACATCTTCACCGCCGCCCTCCTCTTCTTGCTTCACGACGACGAGCTCTGGGTTGTCGGCGACCTTCGGCAGCTTATCCACATCAATTGGGCTATTCTTCTGCCCCTCGACGGCGTGAAGGACGGGCGCCAGGAGCTGCACATCAGGCTCGTCGTCGGAGGAGTCGGAGGAGAGTACGACGACCTCGTCCACCTCGTCATCAGAGGAGTAGCCGTCAGATTTGTCAGAGTCGTAGTCGTTAGAGGACTCAGACTCGGCGTCGGAGTCGTTGTCTGGCCCAAGCACCCATGGATTGCGCCTCTCCCAGTAGGCGTTGTTGATGGGTGCTGGGAGAGCGAGGACGGCGTCGGTGATGTCATCCGCGGCGGTCGGCGGCGTGGTGGATGAGCGGTACATCCACCAACGGGCGCACTGCCTGGGGTCGGGGGAGCGCTGCACCTCGCGCATCGCCCACAGGAGAATGGTCGCCGGCGGGACGGTGCGGCCGGCAAGGAATGCACGCTGCCTTTCGGCAGGTGTCATCACCTTCACCAGGCCGCGGGCATGGTTCCTCAGCATCGCCAGACTGGGGAACCAGCGCGCGATCTCCCTGTACTGCGCGCGCAGCTCGTGGTTGTTGCCGGTGAGCTTTTCGATGGCCAGCTGCCAGTCCATGGCGACGGCGGTGGGGGTGGCTGTCGGCGGTGGTTTCGACGGGAGAGAGGGGGAATAGGAGTGGGCGATGCGGGCGGCGAGTGGGCGAGTGATCGAAGAGAGCGGTAGGTGGACATGTAGTAAAGGCAGAAACCGAAACGACTAGTTATACTAAACGGACGTTCACCACGCTGGCGGCCTCAACGCACTCTCAACACAGTGCGTGCCTAACTAAACATAAGTAAAATTGCGGATGCTACTAAAGCAACATCACTAGCACTATCCTATTGGTATTAAACCCCTGGTTACTACCCACTGGTCCTGGGTTCGATCCCCAGGCCAAACTATTTTTGTGCAATTTTTTTTGGATTTACAAAATTAATATGTCAGTAACTTCTTAGGGTTTTTATTTTTGTGCAATTTTTTTGGATTTAAAAAATTGATATGTCAGTAACTTCTTAGGGTTTTTTCGACTCCGAGGCACCCTACATGCCCAAGTGGAGACATTTTGGATTTTGTCGATGCCGAGGCACCCTAAATGCCCAAGTGGAGACATTTTGGGCTTTGTCGATGCCGAGGCACCCTAAATGCCCAAGTGGAGACATTTTGGGTTTTGTCGACGCCGAGGCACCCTAAATGCCCAAGTGGAGACATTTTGGGTTTTGTCGACGCCGACGCCGAGGCACCCAACTTCTTGCAATACATCATAACACATCATATCAACAACATGAAAACTAAGATCATCATCATATCAACAATGAAACTATGCTCATCATCACAACAACATAATGAAAACTTCTTGCAAAACATCATAACTAATAAGTTCATCATCACATCATCATAACCAGAGTATCATAGTGCATCACAACCATTAGGTACATTACATAGTCCACCACTTGGACTTGAACTAACTGGTTTCAACATGAAATTCTTAATATTCTTCATCACAAACTAGCCAAAAAAGGCTGAATTAAACATGTTTCAACATTACATCACTTCTTGCTGCCTTGAGAACAATTGAAGCATTCAGACATCTTGTATGATGGCTTTCTCACTCTTCCAGTACCTGACAGTCTTGGTGGTATGAATATTTTCTTTGCACTTGACCTAGCAGCAGTAGCAGAAGATGAACTAGGCCTATCAGCAGCAGCAGAAGATGAACTTGGCCTTGTTGGAGCAGGAGCAGAAGGAGCCGCCCTAGGTACAGCCCTAGTTGCAGTCCTAGCTGCAGCTGGAGCTCTTGCCCTTGCTGCTGGTGGAGCTGTCCTTGGTGTTGCACTGGTTGCAGTAGGAGCTCTTGCCCTTGCTGCTGGTGGAGCAGATGGAGCTGCCCTAGGTGCATCAACTCTCCTGTTTTCCTGCAGTGACAACATATAGACAGATTAGAACATAGTATTAAATATACACAAGATTTAACCTGCAGTGACAACATATATAAACAAGATTTAACCTGGTGTTGGTTCTTCTCATTGCTAGGGCTGGCTTCAGATTTTTATGGCAGCTAGTGTACATATGCCCTGTCAAGTTGCAATTGCTGTAGGTTATTGTTGCCATCCTTGAAGTATCTTTGGGAGCTGGCTTCTCAAACTGATTCTTTCTCCTCTTAGTCTGCTTCTTTCCTGGCTTGTCTCTGAAAACTGGTGGCTCTATGTCAGGGGTCCCAGTATTTGGCCATAGATCAGGCCCAGGCACAGGATACACAATTGGATTGTAGGCTGCTTGGTACATTGGTTTCTTGAAGAAATCACTAACAAAATCTTCTGGATGAAGTTTTGCCTTGTTAATTGCAGAAACACCATACTTGCAAGGAACACCAGTCATGTCCCATTTGCTACACCCACATGTGTGCACTTGCAGATTTACTGCATATGTGCTTTCTCCATTGCTAACCTGGTATAGATCAGGTCCTGCTTTGATTGACTGACAATATCTAGCATGGTGTTTTGCTTCTTCTAACTTCTCAGCATATGTTGGGCATATCCGCCACTTGGCTGTCTCAGTCTTGGTCCTATTGGCATTGAACTTAACTAGCAATTTTGTTCTGATGCCATCAACCATGGTTTTAATTGGTTTCCCTCTCACATCAAGTATCATTTTGTTGAACACTTCACTAATATTGTTAACAACCAAATCAGTTTTACAATTCTTGTCCATGGCATGTCTAGCCCATGTATGCTTGGGTATCTTTCTAAGCCATTTACAAGCTGCCTCACACTCTCTTTTCATGCCTTCCATTGCTTGTTCAAAACCATGCTCAGTATATGAATAACTAGCCTGATCCATATACTTCTTTAACTCTTCACCTCTAAAGTCAACTGTTTGAAAGTTCTGATAAATATGTCTAAGGTAGTATCTTTGAGGGCAATTTGGGAAGACATTGTTTATGGCTTTAAGAAGGCCCTGTTTAAATAACTAGTGTTCAAAATATAGTATAACAACACACTATTTGACAGTACTAAGCATGGTAAAACTTCAGTAAAAATAAGAATTATGATGTATGAGGTACCTTTTGTCTATCAGATATGATAGTGTACTTGCCATACTTTCCTGACTCATCACCAAGAGCATACTTGAGCTGGGTTAGAAACCAGGACCAGCTGGCAGTGTCCTCCTTGTCAACAATAGCAAATGCAATGGGAAAGATGTTGGTATTACCATCTCTTCCAGTTGTAGCCAATATTTGTTGCCCTGTTGTCAACTTAACAAAGCAACCATCAACACCTACAACCAAACATAACACATTAGCACCAAACATAAACAAAAGCAATGGCAAATATGTTGGGAAAATAATTATGCAAGTACCTATGAAGGGTCTGCAACCATTTAGGAAGCCCTCTTTGCAAGCATTGAGGCACATGAACAAGCCATGAAATCTAGGATTTTTGCTAGGATGAAGCTTTAAATGCTTTGTTGTCACAATGCATCTACTTCCAGGATTGGTATCCAGCACAGCTTGGAGGTAATCCCTTATCCTAGTGTATTGTGCCCTCTGATCTCCTTGGACAACTTCCTTAGCTGCTTTCCTTGCCCTGTAGGCCATGTGAATGGACACTTCAATTCCATGTTTTTTCTTCAAATTGTCAATTATTGCCTGGACTGGTGTGTTTATGTCAGACCTTAACTGTTGCTCACACTCATGTGCCAACCATCTTGCAGTGACTTTGGTGCTCTCTCCAACAGCAGGACAATTGTGGTACAAGTTCATTTTCTTCATACAAAATGTCTTCTCATGTGCAATTTCGGAAGCAGCAATGAAAAAAGGACAGTCATCTGTACTGCAAACTACAATAACTCTATCTGAGCAATTCCTATGAAATGAGTAGTTCCTGTTTTGTGAGATGTGAAATGTAAGGAGTGCCCTCCTGAACTGCTGGACATCTAGGAAACAAAGTTGCTTGACAAATTGTTCTTGTGGGTTTTCCCTCTCCTCATCATACCAAACCCTAACTTTATTCTTTTTGGCCTGCTCTTCCTACCATTTGGTAGCTTAAATGGTGGAAGCTGAGCACAATCATTCTCTTCCTGACTTAAGTCACCTGGGTTGCTCTCCTCATCAGATGAAGATGCCCAGTCTTGCTCTATGATTTGATCCAAACTTGCATGGGATCTTGTTGTTGGCCCCTTCCCCCTCCTCTTACTTCCTCCTGTGCTGCTGCTTCCTCCTCTCAAGCCCTCATCTAGTGGCTCCACTTGTCCTCCCTCTTCATCTCTTCCTTCATTCTCCTCCTTCTCATCTGGCCCATATAGCTCTTCTACATTAGTGTCTCCTTCAAAGTGATGTAGTGGATCATCCCTATGCCTCTTCATTGCCTCCAACCTAGCCAATATGTCCTCATCTTCAAGATCTTCATCCTCACTTTCACTATCAGTGAACTCCTCAGTAAGCAGATGTGGGAGTTTTCTTTTTGCTGCCTTGTACTTCTCTCTTTGTATCATATTACTCCTGTACCTCTGAATTTCTTCATTTCTTTTCTGCTCCATCATCTGCTCAATGTGCTCTTGCTCTTGGTCTGTCTCCATGAAATACTCATGCCTCTCATTACCATTGTCCAAAGCAAACTCAGGTTCACTTGGGCCCTTTTGCTTCAACAAACAAGATCTCTCCTGTGTGTTCATTACTTGGACTGGCTGTGGTTGGGGTTTCACTGGACTGGGGAAAAGAACTCCTGAATTGTCTACCTCATAGACAACTGGTACACCTATTTCTGACAAAGGAACTTGCTCTTCATAAGCATGACCAATGTTCAAATCAACTGGTCTAGGTGCATCACTTCTCATAACTGTAATGTTAACAACTTTCTTTCCTTTACTAGCTATGTGATCCAACATTTCTTCCACCTTGTCATCATCAGTTAATTCTTCCATTCCTGACACCCCAGCTCCTGGATCTCTAACATAATACATAAAATCGCTTGAACTATAGCCTTCTACCTCTATTAGGGCAATGAGATTCCAGAAGGTTATGTCTGATAAACAGATTGTTCTTTCCAAGTTATCTCTGTCTAGGAAATGGAACCTCACTTCCCATTCTTCATCATCCAAGCTACAAATTCAGATAAAATGCATTTAACAGTGTTCACAATTATTTTTAAGAGGTCTCATTGGTGGCAACAGAAATTCAGTTTAGAGTGTTAAAATCCAGTTAACAGTGTAAACAAAATTCAGTTAACAACATACAGTTATCAATAAATTCAGTTAACAGTTAACAGTGTTCACAATATTCAGTTAACAGAGTTAAACTTGTTGGCAACAGAAATTCAGTTAACAGTGTTAAAATCCACTTAACAGTCTTCATAAAATTCAGTTAACAATATACAATGTTCAATAATTTCAGTACACAGTTAACAGTTTACTAAAAATTCAGTTAACAGCTAACACTAACCCTAATGCTAGAACCCTAACACTACAACCTTAGCCGTACTACAACTACCCAAGAACACCAACCATAGAACCCTAACACTACAACCCTAACCCTAGAATACCAATCAGGGAAATGACAAAGGAGGAGGAGGATGACTTACTCCACACCGCCGAAGGAGGAGGCAAAATGGTGGCTGCCCGTCGGATTGGCCTTCACCGCCTGGGCGAACGCAGTAGCCGCCGCGTATTCCAACGACTTCGGCGACGACGGCGGTTGGGGAAGAGGCAGCGTGCTCGACGGATTGGAGCTCCCGCAGAACTCCGGTGGATCTCCAGCACCGCCGCCCGGAGCATCCCCACCGGCAGCAACTCCCCCGCCACCGTCCACGCCACTAGGTTTCGTCGTCGCCATGGATTGGAGCTGGAGGGAGAGGACGGAGCAGATCTGGTCTGGTCGGGCGCCGTCGGTCGGTCGGTCCGGCTCGACAAGATGTACGCTCAAACGACACTGTCAACGCGTCCGTTACGCCATGTCACGCATATTGGGCCCCACCTGTCAGAAACACCCTCAACCGAGCCAAATGACATGTTCAGTGCAATCTGCAAAACTGTTACTGAATCTGCGGTGGCTTTTGCAAATGATTAGCGACCACGTTGTTTTCTGCAAAATAAGCCCCAAATGTGATGGTTTCTTGCATTTCACTCTGCCAAGGATCATCTCAGACCACGTCAAGGCAACCACCTGCTAACTTTAGCATGGAAGACACATGGGGCCTCTCAAATCCAATGTATGTTTACGCATAGAAAAGGATTCCCCCCGGCTCACGGGTTACGGCGAGCGGGGCTATTCACTGTAGAGTTTTCGTTTCTTGCGATACTGCCTATCAATCTTTACTGCGTATTTGAGTGGCTATACTACTGTTATAGCAAATTTTCATAACATGGGTACATATGAAAACACACACAAAATTTGATCTTTCCCAAATTGATCAATAAAATTCTTTTATACTACCATAGAAACCTAGCTTACTCTTCTCTATGAAAAAAATAATCAAAATTTTACGCTCAAATAGACATTGGGTTAAATCAACCTACAAGAATCTGCTTACCTTACCTGGTATTGTTCCACAAAACTTGGGTCCAGATGAAAAAAACAGCGAGGTGGTAACTTACTATGGGGTTGTATTTGCAGGCGATGACTTTCCCGCTGCATCGACATCACCCGATTGAGCATCAGCTGACCTAGGGACGAGACCTAGGGTTAAGAAATCTCGATTTGGATCTCGCTCTCGCGAGTACGGCTCGGTTTGGATCGAACACGACTGCGGGGCTTGGAGGAGACACAAAGGGAGGAGAAACGCATTAACTGTTTTTTTATTGCAACTAGAAGAACACCCGTGCGTTGCAACGGGGCCACATTAACTTTAAAAGTTCAATATTAATATTCTCATATATATCAAGTGACATTGGCGACCTTTTTTATCATCAATTCCTCACACACACTCTCTGCCTCCCTCTTCCTCACTCTCTCCCCCTCTCCCTCTCTCTCTCTCTCTAACACACACATATCCATCTTATTGGGTACGGGACCATAATCCATCTATTTCACACACACAAGCTAGTACATAACAATATGGATTATGTGTATTATATTTGCCACCACAACTGAGGGAATTAATTTCATGTAAATTGGCCAGCCACAGCTCCAAGAATACGCGGAGGAGGTGGCCCGGGTCGGCGTCGGCGCCGTCCGGCACGGGCCACGGGCCCGCTTCCAAGCGCGTCTGCGCGTCGGCCACCCAAGCCGTGTCCTTCAAGTGCCACTTCCACCGCACCAACTCACAGGGTCACGGCCATGGCCAGGGCCAGGGAAGCCGCCCTTCTTTGCCCCCTTCACCGGCCGCGGCCAACGCGGTGCCGCGGCACCCGGCCTCGCCGTCCTCGTCCTCCAGCACCGTCGCAACCCAGTGATGCAGCCCAAGCATCGGCCTCGAGAATCAAGAACGCTCGACAACGTAGAGGGAAGGAAAGATCATATACATGTCATAAGAAAGGGAGTTTATTTACTGCTCCCTCGATGTATTGTTTCCTTTGTTTGGAGATTGATTACCATCCGTGAGTTAAGGTAAGGTTTACGTGATTGAGCGATTTTTTGAAAATCAATTATTTGTTTTCTAATTAATGTAACCGAGTGATTTAAGGTAAGGTTAATTAATTTAGATTTGATCTTTAGAGATTGTTCGTGATTGATTCTACATTACTAAATAACTTGCGCCAGTACGAAAAGTTCTGATCTGTTTAGATTTCTTTCGTTGTGTGAGAGGGTGACGCGAAAATAAACCGATGAAGTGAGGGGAGGAAACGAAAAAAATCTACGAAAAAAACCAGCGAAGGTGGGAGGAGGTACCAAAAAAAACCATGGAAGGTGGGAGGAGACTACCAACTGTTTCATTAGGAGTAGAAATTATTAGAGATTAGAGATTATTTGTTTCCTGAAAATCTATTATTTGTTTCCTAAAGCAAATTGCATTAATGAGAGAGATTTCGTAGATTTGGTTAAGGTAGGAAAGAATCTATTATTTGTTTGCTAAAGCAAATTGCATTAATAGGAGGGATCCGTTGATTTGGCTAAGGTAGGAAAGAATCTATTATTTGTTTGCTAAAGCAAATTGCATTAATAGAAAAGATCCGTTGATTTGGCTAAGGTAGGAAAGAATCCATTATTTGTTTCCTAAAGAAAATTGCATTAATGAGAGAGATTTGTTGATTTGGCTAAGGTAGGCGGTTTTTGCGGTTCGTGGCGGCTTAGTGTGAGGTGGGACGAGGTACCAAAAAAACCATGGGAGGTGGGACGAAAAAAACCTGGGAGGTGGGAGTTGTCCCTGGTTAACCTACGAAATTTCGTAGATTTTTTTAGGACGAAAAAAAACCGTGGAAGGTGGGACTAAAAAAAACCTGGAAGCGAGACTACCAACTGCTCCCTTAGGAATAGAGATTGATCGTATGCCCCACCGTTACGCTGTGTCTCTAGACGAAATGCCAAACATTAAAAATAAACATCTATCTTTCCAGATGACAGAAATCAGAGGGTGAATAAGATAAAAAAAACTGAACAAAAAACAAAATGATAGTACCCCATGCAATCTAGAATGCCCAAAAATAATTAAAATCTTGTCCAAAAACAAGCTGCACAAAAAATTCTGATTTTTACAGAAATAAAGAATAATCATAGTAGTGTACTATTCGAATTTCATCTGATTCTAGAAAAGGGGCAAAGAGAAACATATTTCAAATTTCTGTCCAGATTTTTTAAATTTCGATTAAAAAATTAAACTGTCCAGAAAAATGTGAAAAATTACAGAAAAAATAGAAAACATAGTAAGTCACTCTTGAGTTTTAGACAATTATGCACAAGTACCAAAGAGAAAATGACATTTCAAAATCCAGATTTGTTCCAATTTTGGACAAAAAATTTCAACTCCACAATGGGCGAGGTGGAGGATGTTCTCGGTGGAGATAGATTAGGGGGATTGTATATAATAGCATCTCCAGCCGTTGGCCCCCCAGGAGGTGCTAAAAATCGGCGTGGGGGCTTTCGGATCCCGAGCCGCCGGCCCCAGGGTCGTCTCCAGAAGATAACATTTTTTTACACAAAATAGGAATTCGGCTAAAGTTCGGCGGAAATTACATTTTATAGCATAGTTTTTATTACATAAACAAATTTAATGTTATTCTACGGCGCAAAGAACGCGGTGAGCTTGGCAAAGTCGCCATCGTCGTCGCCGACCTTGTCCTCCTTGACGCGGACGCCGCCCCTGCTGGACCCCTGGCCGGCGCCGCCCTGGCGGACTGGTGCCGGTGGTGCGCCGTCGTCGCTGTCATCGTCGAGGACGATGACGCCTTCCTTGTCGCGGCCTCGCCGATGCCGTGCGGCGAGCTCTTCATAGGCACGGCGCTGGCGCTCCATCTCCGTCCGCGCCCAGCCGTCGCGCGCCCACTTCAAGGCCGCCGTGTCGACGAGCGCCTCCTTCTCGCCACCAGCGATCCCATGCTCCGTCTTCACATGAGCGAGCCCAGGCTCCTTCTTCACGGCGGTGAGACCCGACTCCCTCTTAGGCTTGACGAAGCGGGAAGGAGCCAAGGAGGAGGCACGCCCGCCGCCTTCGTTGATGACGATGCCGGCCGAGCAGGGTCTCCGCTGCGGGCTCGGCCTTGACGCCGAACACCACCGGAGAGCCAGAGGAATGGGAAGAGGAGCGAGAGGAGGAGCGGGACAAGGACAACTGTGACGCCCCCGATTTGACCGTACACTAATCATACATGCAAATGTGTACGACCAAGATTCGGGACTCACGAGAAGATATCACAACACAACTCTAGACACAAATTAAAATAATACAAGCTTTATATTACAAGCCATGGGGCCTCGAGGGCTCGAATACATAAACTCGAAAACACAAGAGTCAGCGGAAGCAAAAATATCTGAGTACAGACATAAGTTAAACAAATCTGCCTTAAGAAGGCTAGCACAAAAGTAGCAACAATCGAAAAGGCAAGGCGTCCTGCCTGGGACCTCCTATCTACTCCTCGAAGCCGAACTCCACGTAGAAAGAACATTGGGATCCTCTGGCTCTTGGACTCCATCATCTGGTTGCGACATCCGAGAAAAATGGAATAGGGGGAAAAGAAATAGCAAAGCAACCGTGAGTACTCATCCAAAGTACTCGCAAGCAAGGATCTAGACTACATATGCATTGGTATCAATGAAATGGGTAGTATCTATGGACTGAACTGCAGAATGCCAGAATAAGAGGGGGATAGTTAGTCCTGTCGAAGACTACACTTCTGGCAGCCTCCATCTTGTAGCATGTAGAAGAGAGTAGATGGTAAGTTCACCAAGTATCATCGCATAACATAATCCTACCCGACGATCCTCTCCTCGTCGCCCTGTTAGAGAGCGATCACCGGGTTGTATCTGGCACTTGGAAGGGTGTATTTTATTAAGTATCCGGTTCTAGTTGCCATAAGGTCAAGGTACAACTTCGGGTCGTCCTTTTACCGAGGGACACGACTATTCGAATAGATAAACTTCCCTGCAAGGGTGCACCACATTTCCCAACACGCTCGATCCCCTTAGGCCGGACACACTTTCCCGGGTCATGCCCGGCCTCGGAAGATCAACACGTCGCAGCCCCACCTAGGCACAACAGAGAGGTCAGCACGTCGGTCTAAATCCTATGGCGCAGGGGTCTGGGCCCATCGCCCATTGCACACCTGCACGTTGCGAGGGCGGCCGGAAGCAGACCTAGCCCCCTTAATATAAGAGCAGGCTAACGGTCCAATTCGGCGCACGCTGCTCAGTCGCTGACGTCACGAAGGCTTCCGCTGATACCATGACGTCGAGTGCCCATAACTGTTGCCGCGTAGTTGGTTAGTGCGTATAGGCCAGTGGCCAGACTTAGATCAAATACCAAGATCTCGTTAAGCATGTTATTTTGAAATAACTGCGGACGGCGACCACGGCCAGGCCCAGCTCTCTCCTAGGTGGTCTCAACCTACCCTGTCGCTCCGCCACAAAGATCCACTCAGAGGGCCGTCGGGACAAACGTCCTTTCGGACCCAATCCGTGAATCACTCGTGGGTACTCTTCGAGCCGACCCATCTTTAGTCACCACAAGTATCATATAGTATGTATAAGTATATACCCGTGATCACCTCCCGAGTGATCACGGCCCGATAGTCTAGCATGGCAGACAAACAAGAATGTAGGGCCACTGATGATAAACTAGCATCATATACTAAGCAATTAGGATTGCAGGTAAGGTATCAATAACTGTAGCAACAATGACAGGCTATGTATCAGGATAGGATTAACGGAAAGCAGTAACGTGCTACACTACTCTAATGCAAGCAGTAGAGATAATAATAGGCGATATCTTGTGATCAAGGGGGGGGGCTTGCCTGGTTGCTCTGGCAAGGAGGGGTTGTCAACAACGTAGTCGATCAGGGCACCAGCAGCGGTGTCAGTCTCGTAGTCTACCGGAGAGAAGAGGGGGAAGAAACAATGAATACAATGTAAACCGATGCATATCGATGCATGACATGACAAGTAACAGTGCTAGGTGTGCCCTAACGCAGTATGAGGTGATACCCGCGAAGGGGGAAAACATCCGGGAAAGTATCGCCGGTGTTTTGCGTTTTCGGACAGATGAATCGAAGGGGGAAAGTTATGTG